ACAGATGTGTGGAAGGTTTGAGCCAGATGTGGGATAAGTCTCTGAAACTTCCTGCATCTCCATTTCCTTATGTGCAAGCAAAAGAGGGACTCACACCTCAGGAAGTGGTTGGGGTAGGGTAAAGGAAAAAAAAGATTTAATAAGTGATTAGGCACTTCAAAATGGTGGGTTTTACTATCTAGATCTCTATCTTGACCTGGGACTAACATGGCCACTTTTATTCTGGCCACTTTTGCCATTTTATTTTATTGTATTTAAAGATTTTATTTATTTATTCATGAGAGACACACAGAGAGAGGCAGAGGGAGAAGCAGGCTCCCCATAGGGAGCCCGATGTGGGACTCGAACCCAGGACCCCGGATTCATGACCTGAGCCAAAGGCAGACGCTCAACCACTGACCCACCCAGGTGCCCCTCCTTTGCCATTTTAGAATATGACCTATCATGGGGGAGATGGTGTGGCATGGCGATTAAGAGCATGGACTTTGGAGTCAGCAAGGCCCTGGATTTAAATCTCAGCTTGACTGTTTGCCAGCTTCATTGGATAGAAGCTGCTTTTACTTTGCAGGTTTCCAGGGAGGATTTGATGAAATAACATACAGTTAAGTACCAAGCACAGTGCTCGGTGGGCCGCAAGCCTACGTGATGATGGAAGCTGTTATTTGATCCCTTTTCCTCACTTATGTTCCACTGGAATGTAAGCTCCATGAAGGCAGGAATTTTGATTTCACTCATGGATGTGTCCAAGCACCCGGAATAGGTGGCTAGCATCTGGGGTGGGGAGGTGGTGGTGCTTATGAAATAGCTGTTGAATGAATGAATGAAACTGTGTGCTTTACTGTCTGCCACACAGACTGTGGAAGACCCTATGGGGACAGTAAACTGTGGGCCGAAGGACACCTGTGCAATTTTTTAATATCCCAATAGTCCTGTTGCCTCAGGCAGGCAAATGATCCATTTGGGCTCCCCAGCTGTGGTGGGCTGAGGATGGCCACAAGTTTTTGACACACTTCCCATAGAGAGATGGTGTTTGTGTCCCCTGCCCTTGAATCCAGGCAGGCTCCATAACTGCTTTGACTAATAGAATACAGCAGAAATGAAGTTGGACCAGTTTTCAGGACCAGCCTACATGAATAGGTAGTCTCCATTTTATGTCTCTTGAAAGCTAGCTACCATGTAAGAAGTGGGACCATCCTGCGACCACCATGCTGTGAGAAGCTAAATCCACATGGAAAGGCCTTGAAGAAGAAGATAAATGATATACCATGTGGAGGTAATAGATAACTGGAATGCCAGCCATGGAGAAAGTTTCTAGCTGTGGTGAAAGAAACTCTAAAGTGTTGCGAGCCATGGCAACTCCAAAGTTTCCATGAAACTTGGAATCATAGGAGCCACTTACCAGTTTTCGTGTTCTCCACCCCTGTGTTCCCAGAAATAAAACTGAGGACCTGCCCACTTTGAGCAGAGAAGAGAAAGAGGCAATTTGCCATGCCGATGAGTGCAACAATCCCTCTTTGGGGTGACATTATGAAAAAAGCGGGCACACAAGCTTCCCATAAGTAAGCATGGTAGTCAGCCACCAAGATTAACCAATGATTCTCATCTACTGGTATTTACAAGAGGGCTGACCCAAGTGATTACTAAGATAATGTGGGAATGACGAAGTATGATTTCTGAGCCTAGGTCATGACGTTGCAGTTGCCATGTTGATTCCATTGGACTGCTTGCCCAGAGGAAGTGAGCTGTCATGTTGTGAGGATGCTCAAGCAGTCCATAGAGAGGTCTATGTGGGCAGGAGCCAAGGTTTCCTACCACCAACCAGATGCCAGTGTGGAAGTAAGCTGTGGAAGTGAGCTACCTTGGCAGCGGATCGATCCTCCATCCTTATTCAAGCCTTCATATGAATGCAGCCTGGCTGCTGACATCTCAACTGCAACTTCATAAAAGGCCATGCATGACCTGGAATAACTTAGTCAAGCTACTTCCACATTTCTAACCCACAGAAGCTGTTGGATGATAAATGTTAATTTAAAATTTTGGGGTAATGTGATGGCAATAAATAAGGTAGCCACCACCCCCATCCACACTGTATTTGTTTTTGTTTCTTTGCTAGTCTGTTGCTATGTTCACTCAGGTGTAGCTTGTATTTGGAACTCAAAGCTTTACAAAGTTCTTTCCCAGCTCTGTGGTGTCTCAAGAAACTAGATCCTGCTTTACTGATACTCTGTACTTCTTTTTTTTAAAAGATTTTTATTTATTTTTTTGAGAAACAGAGAGAGAGGCAGAAACACAGGCAGACACATGCAGGGAGCCTGACGCGGGACTCGATTCCGGGTCTCCAGGATCAGGCCCTGGGCTGAAGGCGGCGCTAAACCACTGAGCCACTCAGGCTGCGATTCTCTGTACTTCTGTTAATGGTAAGTAGACCCCACCTTGTCATGTGCCTTACAAAAGCCAGGCTCTTTGAGGTGGTGGCACTTATAAACCAGTCCAAAGTTGTCTAATGGACCCATGTGTTCAGAACCATTATTACTACTACTCCTATTTTGGTCGTAGGCGACTCTTATTTAAAAACAAACACTATTTGTATGGGGAAATCCCTGCTGAAACCCAACTAGGCCATACCATCAGGGCATGTACCCTCCAAGCACGTGCATGCACAGACCTACAAAGAAAAGGGATGATGGAAGAGTGAGCAAATTAGAGGCTCTTCTCTTTAGTGACCAGTGGAAAAAACTCTTAATATTGTGACTTGGGCCCTGCTTCTCCCGCTTTCTTCCCGAATAGTAAGTTGGCAGTCACACCAGGAACTTCTCACCTACGCTTTCTTAGAAGTTACTTTTCTAGATGAGTGCTTCTCCAAGGGTTCAGAATTAATTAATCAGAGCAGGGGGTAGTTGTCTACACTATAGGGAGGAGGCTTTTCATGTGGCCTTCCTGACTCCTCGCCCATGCATCTGGATGTGCTTTCAGAGGCTGACGATTGCCTCTCTGTATGAAGTGATTAGGGAGTGGTGAAGAGGACCCCTGAAAAGTCCTGCCCCCGCTTTAGCAGAAGGATACAAGAAAGAATAGACTTTGATAAGGCAGAGAATAATTTCATTGAGTCTCAAGACCTTTTGTCAACTGGGGCCAGAAAACCCAGGAATGGGTTTCTGAGCTAGGAGTGCGTTGTTATCTCTCTGGGAGAATTTTAAGAGGAGAATCAGTGATGGTCTCATGCAAATGGCTTATATTTTCTCCTCCTGTAAGCAGAACATTGAGTCATATGACCTCAAAAACAATTTGTCCAACTCTAAAACTCCATGAAGAGTCTACATGGTGTGGTTTGTTCTCCACAGAACATACTGCTTTCTCATTTGGATGAGCACCCAGGAAACTTACTAGCTGCCATCTTCATTTTTATTTTTGTCTTGTGCCAATGTTGTCATGGTCGCGCAAGTTGACTCTGCTGTTATTTAAAAAAAATTTATTCATCTAAGACAGAGAGATACTGAGTGAGAGAACATGAGTAGGGAAAGGGGCAGAGGGAGAGGGAGAAGCAGATTCCCCACTGAGCAGGGAGCCCGAGACCCCAGAATCATGAGCGACCCAGGCACCCCTTGACTCTGTTGTTCTACATCTTCTTTCTCTTTGTACAATTTCATAAAGCAGGTTTATTCTCAGTTTTAATAGCTCATGAATATATAGGGGGAAAAGTAGTTGATTATGTTTGCATCAAAATAAGTTCAATAAAGCTGAGTGGGAACAGCAGTAGAGGTTATAAGTTACACCAATTCATGGACTAGGAACAGGATGAGAAGGGAGATAATTTATAACCAACCAGCAGCTGGGGGGATAGTGAATTGATAAGGCCACAGTCACATAGACCTCTAATTGATGACTCTACCATCTGTATAGAATCTGTAGTAACTAAGAATGCATAGTTTGGACATGGGTCTCAGTGTGACTCTGTGATCAAGTCACAGAAAAAGCGATGGCCAGAAAAAGATCAAATTAATCCCCATAGTTTATGTTGCACAGTCTCCGACCAGTTGAGAATGTTTCCTCGGCCATGGCTTAATGAACCTTAGTTTAATGATTCCACTGGAGAAGCTTCTACAACAACATGATAACAACAGGACCACAAACCTTTACCTAACAATTGCCCTTTGCAGGCATGTTCTGGTCAAGTTTCTCAAGCAAGCAAGGAAACAACAACCATAAAAATGATCTGTATGCATGTGTATGAACTTGGCTTCTGCCTTGTGTCCACATTTCTCTAGCTCAGGTTGTGTTCAGGGTACAGGTGCAAAGGCCCTGTATTTCCAGGAGGCTCCCATGTGGTACGTCTGCAGTGATTCAGACTGGGGATTGTGGTCTGCTTGATTTGGCCCCGTTGGTCAGGTCACCATGTGGATCTCTGACACATGATGATCACAGAGGTTTGAGCATCTTCACAAGTATCCGCAGGTGTGTGACACCTGCTAGTTTGAAGAAATGGAGCAGAGGCAGCTGATTGCCTCTTGCAATCTGTGCAGCAAGGCAGGGTTATTTAGAAAATCCACCTCGATCCATCCATCTGATGCAGAGCTCATAGAGGTAGAGAAATGAAAACAAAGAAACCTGCATTAGTGTGGGACCCCAACAAAATGTGTATGGGGGTGCTCCTATGACCAGACTCCAGCGCAAGTGAGGGTCTTCACTATTGTGTCAACCTATGTTTATCTGTGGGACATGGATTCCTCTCACAGTTGTGTTTTTTCTTAAGAACATTCCTAAAAAAAAAGAACATTCCTGCTTTTCTCCTTTAAAAGGGAACTTATTTATCGTAGTAGAAAAGTAGGAGATATATCTAAATTATAAAGTAGAAAACAACAGTTCCTAATAGAACATCTCTTTGGAAATAACTTCTGTTAATATTTGGTGCATTTCATGGAAACTTTTTCCCAACGTGGGCATGTGCGTGTGTGTGTGTGTTTGTGTGTATTGCAAAATTAAGATTAAATATGTATAGAGGTGCCTGGCTGGTTCAGTTGGTAGAGCACAAGACTCTCAATCTCAGGGTTGTGAGTTCAAGCCCCACGTTGGGCACGGAGCCTACTTTAAAAAAAAGATTAAATATGTACAATTTTCTATCCCGTCTTCACTCAACATTAAATTTTTACCATCTCATTAAAGTTTAATTTGAATGCATAATGTTCTCTAGTAAAGAGACGCTGTGTAAGTGCTATGGAGTCAAACAGATCCCAATTCTGGTCCTGATTCCCTCAGCATCTGGGTCTGTCAATGGGCAAATGACCTCAGTTTCACCATTTGTAAAATGGGGATAATATCAGCTACTTCATGTGGCTTCTGAAAGGATTAAATAGGGTAATATTCACAAATCCCTGACATAGTCTGCAGATAATAAGTGTGAAATATCCGTCAGCTAGTCTGATTCATCGCTCTGTTGTTGGAAATGGAGTCAGTGCTCAATGTTTTTGCTCTTTATCGTGTTGCCATGTTTGCCTCCATCCCAAATGATTTCCTTCGGTTAAATTTCTAGCCGTGGAATAAAGGGCAGAAACATTTTAAAGGCTTAATTTGAATGCGTTTCTAGATCAGTTGTATCTAATTGCACCCACACTGATGTTGCCTACGCTGGTCATTTGGCTCCACCCTTGAGAGCATTATATACTATCTTTTGTAACTGTGCTAATGTAATAGGCAAATAATGATACTTCATATAAATATGAATTTTGTTGGTTGCCTAGTGGCATTTAATATTTTTCATACATTTATCTTCCTTTGTGAATTTTCTGCCCATCAATCAATACCTATTATCATGTGCCACTTTTGTGCCAGACACTGCCAGATGTGTCACAGGGACACATTTGTGTCCAAACAGACATGATCCAAGCTCTGATAACACAGCATTTGCTGAAGGTGCTCCTCTCGGCAGGCACTGGACTACATGCTTACCTTGAGGATAATGTGAAGCACTCTGCATTTTTCTGGTTAATAATTAGCCTCCTCTGGCTAATCCAAAGTCTGTTCGGCCACTTCCTTATTTCGGCCACGTTCTTCAGAATTGAAGATGCTATGTTCATCTATTCTGGATAAGTACACTGCTGTGGTATGAATGTAAATTTCATACACACACATGAAACAGACGTGGGTGGATGGACTCACTACAGAAGGCATCGAGAAGAGACGTGTGGTGATGGGTTAATAATATTTGGCTGGCCAGAAGAAGCTGAAGAATATGTAAACGATATAAACCACACTAAACAATTTTAGAACGTGTAAAGCTGGTACACTTGATCAATTTAAGGTGGCGTGCTTTGAATCTTCAGGTTGAAGAGCCTGTCCTGCATTTGGCAACTCAAGTAGAGGCACTCTGTGGGAGCCACCCACTGACCTGCACACCCACTGTCCAGTTGTATCCTAGATTAGAAGATCAGCTTCAGTTGACAACTGTACGGTGGCAGCTGTCTTGCCTTTGGAGGTGCACTAGAACAGTCCAATGGTAGGTACAGGTGAGGAAGTTTCTCCTTACTTTCAGTGGTAGGGTAGGAGTCCCCAGCATCGTTTGACACTTTCAGAGAGTTGTCGTTCCCAGGGATGTTTATATCCCCCTCTGGTGCACTGTCACCTTCTAATTTAGCAGGATATTATTTATTGCCCTCTGCCTATGGTCATTCTGCCAACTTGTATTTTCATCACAATCCACAGCATTCAAAGAATTCTCACATATATTATCACAATGATTCTGAGAGGTGTCAAAAGCTGGCTCCCCAAATATCACCAACACATGATAAGACAAAGCTGACCTTTTCGCTTTGGCACTCTCTCAGAGGGATGAGGGTAAGGTCAGAGTTCATTGAGAATTGGAAGTTTGGCTTAAGGCACATCTTTCAATGCGGGAGGCTCAGTGAGGAGTGGGTGAGCCTCACCATATACATCTCGGACTGGTGAAAATAGCAAGATGAGGATTTTGAGGTGAGGGATTCAAAGACTATGAGGGTGCAGATCGTCTGTCGATGCTTTCCATTGAAAAGTCCATGGTTCCACTGGCAAGGTCCTATAATAAACAATCAAACCATTTACTTGGGCAGGGCAGTCCTGGAGAGACAAAGTAATACTGATGAAGACAGTGGAATAGTAAAGTCATGTTAGCATAGCCAGGAAGGTGTGGTTTGGGTTCTCAGTGTCCAGGCTGAATGTGGGGTAGACTATTTTGACTCTTAGAGGAAAAATACTCACATATCCATTTTATAGGTGAGGAAACATGAGGCTCAGGAAGACCAAGTGGCTTCCCAGGGTCATGCATCTAATTAGCTGTGGAGCGAGAACTAGCCCTGTGCTTTTTTCCATCTTGTCCATTAAGCACTGTCCCTCAAGCTGTTCATCTTGCCCTTTGTCTCAAGTCTCTCTGGGCATTGATCAGTTGCTATAGCAAAAGGAAGTTTCAAATTGATTTTAGGGTTTAAGTCACGCAGTCTTACTTGAACAAATGATAAAATGCTTTTCTGAGAATGGGTGCGTCCAATGAGTCTAAATGCACTCCGCTCTCCGTGTTTCAAAGATAATTCATGGATAAAGAATAGCGAATTGTGTCCTTACTAGAAATTTGATGTGACATATTAATCATTAACATGGCACCGGTGGCTGTAGCAATCGTATGCAGGAGGCAGAAATCTTGTATTATTTCTTCGTAGGGTGTCTTTAAGTGGGAGCGAAGGAAGGAGAGAAAGAGGGAAGCATTCAGAGTGGGTCCCATTCTCTCTCTTACTATGTACATTGAGTTCCTTCAGTTAATTTCACCTCCCTGGCTCCTCTGTCCTCCCAACCCTCACCCACGTCACCCTCACCTCCTATGTGGTTCAGCTGCTTCTGTGTATATATTCCACGAAGGCAAAATGTCCCCAAAGGAAAATGACTAGGGAGAGAGATACGATACAGTGCTAAGGGAAAGCTCAGTAGCAGGAATTCAAGTCTTGGTGGGGTAAATGAGACACAGATTGTCTTTTTGTATATCCACTAAAATGGAAGATTCATATGTGCAGCAGTAAAATCACTTACAGATTGGATCACCAGGGCTAAAAGCATTCAATGGGCACTTGAAAACATTTGTTGAAAGAACGAATGTACCAACAAGTGGCCACTTATGACCATTTTGCTTCTGAGCAAAAATCATGATGCAATTCGAGATGACATGGTTTTTTTTGAACTCTGGTTCTGGACACGACAGTGAGGATTTATCCTAATGTCAATGGTGTGTGAGTCAGATCACAGGTAGGCAGACAGTGTTAGGGTTTGATGGTATGTTTGCCTGCTGCTGCTGCCAGGTCCTTATCCAGGTGTGGAGATGGGATGAGAGAGACAGATGCTCAGAGGAGAGGAATGGTGGATGAGCCCTAGACTGAATACTTTAGCTAAGGCTGGGGGGACATGCGTAAAGAGGTGGGGTGACATCAGGGAATCAGAGCTAGTTGGATTGGAAACCGAATGGATTTTTGATAGGTTAGCTGGTTCTAAGGTTTTCTGTGAATCATGCTCTAATGTTATTCTCCATGAAATAACTTAGAAGAAATCCCTGAAATCCCAGAGAAGACTCAAGCACCAGGGCTCTTCCAACAGCAGATCATATCTGGAGAGGGGACTTTGGCTCTTGGGAAAGTGTGTGATTAACTAATTATGGTAGAACATTTTGAACTATTTTCTGTAATTTTTACAACTCAAACTGGGTTGGCTGGTAGACAAATTTCTCACTAGAGGGAAGAAAGATCCTAACCCTTCAAGCCATAGGAAGCTCAGTGGTAAGCACAGGACAGCCAAAGCTTCTTGTTTTAAAAACTCATCTGAAGATGCTTATAGAAATACTGTAGATCTCATAAAAAATGATTAGCCCCTCAAGTGATCTAACATATTTTAAAATTTCACAAATAGGATGTTATCTATTTTAATATATGTCCTTTGATACCCTTACCTGTATATATATGTTGTACTAAAGACCATTGCTCTTACTGTCTGCTGCTACACAAAACAATTTTCCAGTTGATTGTAAATTCTATTTATCTGTTCAATTAATTATTTATTAATTTAAGGGCACATCACTCAGAGCGTTAGTAAGTGAAAGTATCTGTTGAGTCTAGTTAATTTGAATAGTTATGGGGCACCAAATTAAATATGAAATGCAAATATACGCAAAATACAAATACATGAACAAACTGATAAAATTGCTAATTGCTCTGCCTTTTTATAGAAGCTTCTGTGTGGCAAGCACATGGAAGAAAAGATTGCTCCTAGCTATACCATTTCTTTGTCTCTGGCTTGATGCAAGCAAATTAGGGATATAATCTGTCACATATACACAGGAAAAGTTGAATTTGGGGATGAGTCGTTTTTTTTTTTAACCAGTCTCTCTTATATTGTGTTTATGTATAATTAAAAAGCAAACTCTATTCACTTCCTTTGTAAAAACAGAGTCTCAAAATTGGCAGGATAATGGAAGGGACACTAGAATAGCATGAATTAAAACCACTATTTGGTGGTCATGATGTCTTCTGGGGCAAAGTAGACAAGGCAATGCCAAATGAGTCTTTGGTTAGGGTGTTTCAACATAACTTGAGCACAAACAAAAATTGGATCAACTTAGAATGAGGTTTTTGGTTGTGGGTTCCAGACCCTTAACTGTGACCTTTTCTGTTTTTCCCTTTTATCAGATGTTTGAATGTTAGATGATGACATGGATTAGGAAACAAAAAGCAAGAAGAGTAAAATTAACAGAGACAAATGTAAATTTCTCATTAAGTGTTCATACTTTACTTCCATGGGTATAAAATGGAGGAGGTCTCAGAAGTTCTTATGAAAAGGGCCAAGCAGATTTAATTGGCTTCAAGTTTAATACGAGCCAGTAGGTCCAGGAAGCTGTCCAAAATCTCTGGTTCCTTTGGCTGTGTAAGTTAATGAAGGAGCAAGATCCTGTTTGCCCTCCTCCCTTCAATCTACATCTGGGGAGGAGGAGTATTGTTTGGATTCATCAGATTCTGGGACATGATTATGCCATATTTCCAGGGGGCACAGTCACTATGTGTTAACACCTCAGC